ACTCCTCCAGGGCCATGGTCTTAAGTGTGACTAAATTTCTGTCACCAGCTCTTTGATTGCTATTATTAGGCCCTCAGAGGAGAATCCCAGCAGACCAGCTGGCAAAAGTGGTTTTTCTAGCCCGAAATGTAAGTCACCTATTTTGCCTAATGTTCAACCCAAGCACACTGTGCACCCTATACCTACAGGAATTTCAATGCTAATTCTGACTACATGTTATAACCATTGTAAGGGCTAACTAGGATCATAACCCTCATGTGACACGCAGGCCCATTTCTTATAAATATTCCATAGGGGAGGGGGAGCGATGTATTCTGTTTATCAGAACAAAAGTTATATATATATACATATATATATACATATATATATATATATGTCAATTCAGTTATATGATTTATATTGTTCAAATTATGTATGCCAGAATTTTCCATTTGTATCATCTATCACAAACTGATAGTTGTGTACTACTTCCTACCACAATTAATCTTTTTCTGCTTTTTTCTCTACAACCAGCAGTGATTTATGTATTCTTAAGTTATTATCTGGAACATATAGGTTTATTTTATTGTGATTATTATGGGGTTTGTATTTTAATATAAATGAACTACTTTGTCCTGTTTAATTGCATTTGCCTTGAATTCTAATTTATCTAGTGTTACTCTTATTTTCTTGTTGCTCACATTTGATTAATGTATTTCTATGCACCATTTGAATTTTTGTTGAATTTATTTTATGATCCAACTTAAAATTCTTTACTCTCTAATTAGGTTGGGTAGGGGGATATTAGTATATTTCCATTTGTAGGAAAAACTGATAGTAAATGTAGAGATTTTTAAATTACAAACTATATTTAATCTCAAAGTCAAAACAACTCTAATTAAAGCATCTTTTTAAATTATGTTTCCAGGATCTTTTGAGACTTATATTAACCCATGTGAATGGGAAAGCTATTCCCAAATGGAGGAGGAAGAGCAAGACGCAACAGAAGAAAATGATGATATAATCGATGATTTTTGGAATCCAGAATTAAGTTCTTTCCAGAAGCTAATTCTTATTAAATGTTGTAAAGAAGAAAAGGTAAGGTATTTTTTAAAGGTATTTGTGTTATAACTATTTCTACGTGAAGCTCACCAGACCATTATGATTAGATTTATTTGTTTAGAAAATGACAGTGACCAAGTTTGAGAGGTGGTTCTAAGAAACAGAGACTCTGTGTTATTAATAAAACATAATTTTTTATACAAAAAATTAATGAAAGAAAAGGCTGGAGAGCCAGCCAGAAACCTGGTCATCCTAGTATGCATCGTTAAGGAACTTGTGCTCTCTGCCAGAGAGCACGGGGGTCATCTGGAGGGAGTTAGCAGGGAATTGATGGGCTTTCACAGCTTGGCAGCAGTGGGAAGAAAGCACCTAAAGAAAACAAAACCATTATCACCAAGACTAGTTTGAAGACTGTTGAAGTAGTCTTATGTAAGGAAAGATGGCAGCCTGAATTAGGATAGAGGTGGTAGATTGAAGAGATGGAGGGGGATGTGGAAATGAGGGAACTGGTGTAGCTCCCAGTTTCTGCCTGGGTGCCAAAGAGGACAGTTGTATCAACAACTAAGCAAATGTGAAAGAAGAAATGCATCAGAGAAAGATGTCACTCAGTCTGCAGTGTCTGCCAGCTACCAGAGTGGATAGCAGTCTGGAGACCAATTAATATGTGGGTAAGAAACTCTAGCGAGTAATACATGTTAGAAATGAGAGATTCGAAAATCATCATCATTGAGTTGGAAAGGAAAACCATGAGAGTTGTTAGAATTGTAGAGGAATAACGAATGATAGAATAGGAGAGGACAGGTGAGCAATGGACAGAACCTTGAGGAGCACCAATTTTTTAAAGGGCAGAGAGAAAGGATGAGGAGTCCATGAGAAGAAATAGTCGGAGAGAAAAGAATAATAATAGAAGAAAAAAAGGGACATGGAAACCAAGGAGGAATAGAGTTTCAATATAGGAAAAGTTATCAACAGAATGAATGAAGTATTTCAGACAGTTCTAGTTTTTATCTATACAGATGTAACCCCAATTAAGTTGATAATAAAGGAGTTATAGTACCTGCTGAGGATTCACATGATGAATTTCAGGAGGCACTGGAGAAATATGGAGGTTGTTCCTATGAGAAATGAGAGAGAAAACTAACTAGAGAAAGCTAAAGCATAGTTGGGAGATACTGATGTTATGTTGTAGGATTTTCTGCCATCTCTGTAGGAACACAGAAAAAAGTTGTAGGGTTGACTGAGCTATAGATGATTGCAATAGAAGAACAAGAGATGTAAAGTCATTCTGGAAAGAGGAAGAGATCTAAGAAAGGGCTTTTAGACTGAGAGAAAATGAAGAATCTTGAGTTTCTTTGGGAGCAGATGGAGTTGGACTAGAGGTGTAGCACAGCTAGAAGGATGACAGACAGACATTGTGATCAAAGTTGAGTTAAAATTTCTAATGAACAGTTCTAAGTGATGACAATGTCCTGAGGCTGGCCATGAGTAGGGTTGACTGAGGAAGAGACGAGATAGTGTGCACTGGAGTTAGAGGTCAAAGAACTATGAGGTTAGGATGTTGGGTGGCTACATGAAACCTGAACCTGGGTTGTGTCACCTCAGATGGTGGCAAGACAATGCCTAGAACATAGAGTCCTTATCTTGTAGAGACATATGCTGAATTACTTAAAGGTGAGATAATATTGCACATGAGATATGCTTCAGAATAATCCTAAAGAGTGGGGGAGTGGGTGGGTGTATTGATAAAACAATATTGGCCTTGTCTTGATAAATGTTGAAATGGTGAAACATTGGGTTCATTATTCTCTAATTTTATATGTGCTTGAAATTTTCATAATAAAAAATGTTTTTATTCCTATCACATCCTTCAACACCATGTCCCAGGACAGTTCTCCAAATGTGATCAAAGCTACAAATGATAGATGCAGTTATAAGAAAGTCGCAGAGGATTAATTGAAAATTCTTATCCCAGCATTTGACCAAAAACCTTACCCATGTTATACTACCAAAGAAAACTTGCTTCACAAATCAACACAGAGGAATCTAGAATCTAGATTAGGTTTCAGAAGTAAAGAGCAAGGTGTGCATTCCAGGGAAGACGGAGACCTGAATCAGTCAAGACAAGATCACCCTGAAGATAAGATCCAAGAATAAAAATGTTATCCCAGCTATACCTCTTCCCAATTAGATATACTCATCAAGGCTCTTAGGAACAACCCTTACCTAGTATTGTTTCCACAGAATGACTTGCTAAGGAAATTGTGGTTCCACAGTAAAGAATCCAAGATCGAAAGATCTAGATTCCCTGCCCAGAGAAAAAAAGAACCTGAGGAAGCCTTAGAACAAAGACAAAACCAGAGACTAGATCTCTGTGATGAGAGAGAGAGTTCAAAGTAACCACTCTGTTGTTTTCAGGTCTGTTCATAAGGTAAGCCCATTTGGTGTCCAATGCTTCTACATGGTAAACTGCTCCTTTGAGAGAAAAAGGATGTTCCAACACAGGCTTATGTGAGATACTGCAATCTTGCATGAAAATTAAGCCTCCTTCGGAAATAGCATATTTAGACCTTAAGATGAAACTCCATTTTTTTTTAAACTAAATAAATCAGGGGGTAGACTCATTAGAACTGCAACAAGATGTAGAATGCCTGTCATTCCAACAATTCTTTATTTGGCATCAATATTATCAACACCCCTCAGGATAAAGTTATGAGAAATTTGAACTGGAAAGAGAAAACAGAAATTATTGTCTAGTTCTGAGAATAAAGATCGCCTGAGGGAGAATAATCCATCACCACGGAACAAAGCTGAGAAACGTGCTATATACCAGTGTTCTCAAATTTTGGTATGCATCAGCACCATCTGGTGGCTTTTAAAACTAGATTCCTGGGGCTCACCCCTCAGAATTTCTGATTCAGTAGAGCTGGACTAGAGGCTGAAACTCTGCATTTCTAACAACTTTCCAGATGATGATGCTGTTACTGATCCTGAAACCATACTTTATGAACCACTGCTTTGGTGATTAAACATATACGAGTATAATGAGAAACAGTTATTCTCAAAGCAGACAGAGGAGTGAGGACATCAGGATATGTCATGACCTGCAGCATCACTGGTTTCCAAGTCTAAATCCATGGGGAACCCTAACCTTGACAGTTCCGTTGTTTCAGTCCAGGCTTCCTGTACCTCAGGAAGGTGGCGGTCTCTTTGAGAGCCAGGTTTTCTCTGTGTTGAAAAACCACAGTGTGTCACTAGTGTTACCCAGAATGAAATCTTACTCAGGGCAACAATTGCAAGACTTTCCAAATTTGGGAAACACCAGTTATATGAATGTAAATTTAAGTCTCTGCTGTCAGTTCCACTGTGTGCTGATTATTTATTTAAGCAAAATATCCCATGGAAGAAAATTCCCCACAATAGTCTCATAGGACGGTTGGCACAACTGCTTGCTAAGAAATATCCCTGTTGGCACAGAGACGACACAAGAGTTACTTGGAAATGTTAAAAATGTCACTTCAGCTGTCACAGATATATTCTCTGGTCATGTATAGAAAAGACGCTCAAGCATTTTTTTAACAGCTTCATTGAGGTATAATTCATATATCATACAATTCACCCATTTAAGGTGTTCTTTCCAATGGATTTTAGTACTTTCACAGAGTTGTGCAATTTTAGAACATTTTCATTACCCAAAAAAGAAACTCCACACCCACAGCCATCATCCCCCAATGCTCCTATCAGCATCAGCCCTAGGCACCCACTAATGTACTTTCTGTCCCTATAGATTGCCTCTTCTGGTCATTTCAAACAAATGGAACCATATAACATGTGGCCTTTTGTATCTGTTCTTTCATTTAGCATATTAATTTCAAGGTTCATCCATGTTGTATCAAGTATTTATTGCTGAATAATATTCTATTGTTATGAATATACCACATTTTGTTTATTCACCAGTTGATGGACATTCCGGTTGTTTCCACTTTTTGGTTATTATGAATATACTGCCATAAACATTTGTGTGGACATATGTTTTCATTTCTCTTCGGTATATACCTAGGGGTAGAATTGCTGAGTCAACATTTTACATTCCCACCAGCAGGGTATGAAGTTTCCAGTTTCTCCATATCCTTACCAACAATTTTTATTATCTGTCCTTTTTATAATAGCCCTCCTCATGGGTGTGAGGTGGTATCTTCATTGTGGTTTTGATTTGCATTTCCCTGATGGCTAATGATGGTGAGCATCTTTTCTTATACCTACTGCCTATTTGTAGAACTGTTTATTCAGATCCTTTACCACTTTTTAATAGGATTATTTATCTTTTTGTTATGGAGTTGAAAGTTCTTTATGTATTCTAGATACAAGTCCCTTATCAGATATATGATTTGAAATAAATGTTCTCCCATTCTATGGTTGTCTTTTCTTCCCAGTATTTATATTTTTCTTTTGTTGCTTGTAATTTTGGGGTCACATCTAAGAAGACATTGCCTAATCCAAGGTCATGAAAATTTACTCTTATGTTTTCTTCTAAGAGTTATAAAATGTTATCTCTTACATTTATATCTTTGAGCCATTTTGAGTTCATTTTTTATGTAGTTTTAGGTAAGGGGCCAGCTTGATTCTTTTACATATCCAGTTGTTACAGCACCATTTGTTGAAAAGACTATCATTTTCCCCCATTGAATGGTCTTGGCACCCTTCCCAATAAATCAACTGCACATATTTGTAAGAGTTTATTTCTGAAATGTCAAGTTTATTCCATTGATCTGTATGTCTGTCCTTATGCCAGTGCTTCACTATCTTGATTATTGCAGCTTTGTAGCAAGTTTTGAAATTTGCAAATGTGAATCTTCCAACATTGTTCTTCTTTATCAAGATTGTATTGGCTATTCTGAGTCCTTTGTGTTTCCATAGGAATTTTAGGATCACCTTGGCAGTTTCTGAAAAGAAACCAGCCAGAATTGTGAAAGGCATCTGTAGATCAATTTGGGGAGTAATGCCAACTTAACAACATTATATCTTCCAATCCATGGACATGAGACATTTTTTCCATTTATTTGGGTCTTCTTTCATTTATCCCAACAATGTTTTACAGTTCTCAGAGATTAAGTTTTGCACTTCTCTTGTTAAATTTATTTCTATGTATTTTGTTCTTTCTGATGTTTTTGTAAATGGAATTGCTTTCGTAATTTCATTTTTGGTTTTCTCATTGCTACTGTAGAGAAATACAATTGATTTTTCTATATTTTTGTATCCTGCAAAACTGCTGAGCTTGTACATTAGTTCTAATAGATTTTCACTTAGTTCTTTAGCATTTTCTATACACAAAATCATGTCATCTGCAAATAGACATAGTTTTACTTCTCCCTTTACAATCTAGATGTCTTTTATTTCATGTTTTTTACTAACTGCCCTGGGTAGAACATCCCATACAATGTTGAACAGAAGTAATTCGAGTAGATATACTTGCCTTGTTCCTCTCAGGAAGACTATTCAGTCTTTCATCATTAAGTATGACATTAACTATGGGATTTTCATACATATCCCTTCTATTCCTTCACTTTAAGCCTATGTGTGTCCTTAAAGCTGGAGTCTCTTATAGGCAGCATATAGTTGGGTCTTGTTTTTTTATCCATTCAGCCACTCTATGCCTTTTGATTGGAGAATTTAATCCATTTACATTTAAAGTAATTATTGTTAGGTTCTCAGTCATTATTTCTTTAAATAAGCTTTCTGTCCCCTTTTCCTGCTCTTCCCCTTCTGGGACTTTAATGATCAAGATTGTTTCTGGTAATGGAATCCCATAGGTCATGTAGGCTTGCTTTACTCTTTTCCATTTTTTTCTTTACTCTTCTGTAATTGAACAATATTAAAGGACCTGTCTTCTACTTCTCAGGTACTTTCTTCTGCTTGATTCAATCTGCTATTAATACTCTCTACTGCATTTTTTTTTATTTCATTCATTGTGTTCTTGAGCTCAAGAATTTCTGTTTGGTTCTTTTTTATTATTTTTATCTCTCTATTGACCTTATCATTTTATTCATGTATTTTTTCCTGATTTTGTTTCATTGTCTTTCTGTGTTTTCTTGTAGCTCACTGAGCTTCCTTAAAACAAATATTTTGAACTCTCTATCCAGAAAAATCACAGATCTCCATTTTGTTGGGATAAGTTACTGGAAAATTATTGTGTTCCTTTGTTGATGTCATGTTTTCTTGATGCTTCATGTTCATTGAAGTCTTGCATTGCTGTCTTCACATTTAAAGAGTCAGTAACCTCCTCCAATCTTCACTGACTGGCTTTGAGAGAGATATGCCTTCTGTCAGTCCTATTAGGGATTTTGAGGCTTTCTCAGAACTTTCTGAGGATCTAGTTGCTCCACACTTCTTGTTCTCTCTTGGGGGAAATTCTTAAGATTGTACGCCCTCTCTCAATTCTTCAAAGCCAGGCCAGGTATGGGAGCCTCTTGTTTGCTTTCCCTAAGGCAGTGCTAAATTCTCGTGTCTGTGTGCTTTCTTCCATCCCAGAGTTGGGCCAAATTTTTGCGCATGCTTGCTGGGAGGATCCTCAGATAATGCATCCCCAGCAACTCATGGGCAGGCTTCCTGATGGAGTCTGAGAAGTAGTTAGTAGAAACCACATCCATTGATATGTTCCACTCTGAGGCCTGGCTGCTCCTCTCAAAGCCACTCACCACCCTCTAGTTAGGCAGTTCACAAATCACTATTCTGAATGGGGTAAGAAACATGTGGGCCTCTTTAGTGCTATCCTACACAGCTGGAGAAGCCAGGAGCTCACTCACAGGCTCTGACATTTCCCCCATGGGAGAAATCATGTGCTGAGAAGGTCAGTCTTGGCATTGAGCTACGCCACCTTGGGAGACAGATGACACGGGTAAAGTAAAACTGTTCTTCTTAGCTTCTTCAATGCATCCAATCTTGAAATTTTTTGCCCTGATCATGTGCTTGAACTTCTCTGGTAGACTCCCAGGCTTTCACAAAGGAACTCTCATTTGTGAGTGACTATCAAAATCAGTATTCTTTGGGGGAAAGAAGGTAGAATTCTCCCCTGCTGCCATTTTTATTTCAAGAAGTTTTTTGGGATTGTTTTTTTTTAAGATTTTATTGGGGAACCACGGAAGGGGAACAGAGAAGTTGCTGTCCTTTTTGTTCTTCAGTCTAGTTGTGGAGGACATCGCTTCACTGGCCCATGTTGGTATTATCATTGCGCTCTTCCTGGGTGAGGCAGTCACTCACCAGCCATTGGACAGCCGCTCATGGCAGCTCACAAAAGCACACACCAGCTGCCGGCCAGCCCCACTGCAGCCTACGCCGTCACCAGCGACTCATGGCAGCCCAGCTCTAGGTCGAGCTGTTGTTCACCATCTTAGCTGTAGAGGGCGTAGCATCACTGGCCAGCATGTGGGATCCGAAACAGGGCCCTGCTGCTCAAAGCTGGCGTCCCAAGCCAACTCTTAACCAACACGCCACTCGGCCGGCCCGATTTCAAGAGTTTTTAAGTCATTGTTTGGATGACCTAAAAGAAGACATTGAAAAACGAAATAAATTATTGAAGACTAATACTAAATTTTTGGAAGAAAACTTACCTTGATGTATTTTTGCTATTTGGATCAGCTGAAAGTAGACATAGAAAAATTAAATAAATCATGGAAAACTAATACTGAAGTTGAGGAAGAAAATTTACCTTGATGGATTTTTTGCTGATAACACTACTACTAAAATCTATAATTGTTATTACTAATTTTAAGTTTGAGTACTACAGTTCCCAAGACCAGTTTAAAGACCTATCTCTATCCATTGACGATTTGTAAGGGGGGAAAAACACTTCCCTACTCTATTTAACATTCCCTTGATTTCTTCTTTAGGGCTCAAGAACTCAAATATGCATGGGGGTAGATGGTGGTGATGGTTTCACAACACTATGAATGTACTCAATACCAGTGAACTATACACTTAGAAATGGTTAAGATGATAAGTTTTGCTATGTGTTTTACCACAATTTTTTTTAAAGTTCTTGAATGTGATGGAAAGAAGTGTAAGCACAAGTATTCTAACACACAATTCGGCAACCACCCATGATCTTTATTGTTCATCTCATACACTATAGCTTAAATGAGGTTTGGCCACTAATAAAGAATGATCAGGGGTCATTCTTCCCAAATATTTAAGCTTATCTGCATCACAATGAGAGCACAAAACCGCCCCTTCCTCTGGGCAGGGAATTTCAAAACAGAGTCTCTGAACAGTGAATTTGAGCACTATCAGCACATAAATACCTTCCAAAAATTATTGATCTGAATTCAGGAATTCCCTGTGGGAATGTCCAATGGATTCTGATAGGGAAGATGATCTAAAAATGCTCTGAGGGCCTCAGCCAGAGACTGTAGATATTGTAGGTTAGGTTTGTGTCTTTACCATGATAGCTTTCTTTCACAAGTACGTATATTGAAAAGAAGCACGTTTTTCTATCTCACAGAAATGCTCCACACGGGCTACGGAGAGATAAGGTCTGCAAGAGCAGGAATGGAGTAAGTTGGCTAGGGCGGAATCAGTGAAGGAAACACACTGGTGTAGAAAATCACCAGGCAGGGAGATGATCCTCAAGGCTGAGGCTGGTTCCCAAGAAAGGTCAGAAGAGGCCAATGAGTAAATGACAGATGAAGATGCGAGACAATATATGGAGTCAGTTCTTCTGTGAAGTTGGCTTGTGAAGGGAAGCAAAAAAAATGAAATAGTAGCTGGGAGGAGAGCTGCAATGAAGGAAAGGCTCTCATTTTTGGTTTTAAAAATAGGAGGCAGTAAAGCCTAATTGTATGATGATAAAAAGATCATAAAGAGAGGGACAGATCAATAATGCCAAAAGAGACAACGATGAGACTAAAAGTAAAGTCTACAAAAATGCAAGAGGAAAGGGACAAAAGGAGGCAAGGATAAAAGGAATGCTGAGGGACTTCCTTCTCATCCAGTAGTTCATCCTCTTCAGTGAAGTCACGAGAACCATTACTGGCAGCAGTTATGCAGTGTACAAATCCACCAAATTGCTCTACAGGAAGAAATATACCTAATCAAGAGAGAATAAGTTCAAAGGACAGTCCACCAACCTCTGAGCAGTTGAAGGGGAGAACTAGGATAAAAATATGAAGGCTCCACAACCAACATACTTTAATGTTTTCTTTTCACCTTGCAGGTGGTTTTTGCTCTTACAGACTTTGTAATAGAAAATCTTGGAATACGCTTTATAGAGACACCACCTATGGACCTGCCGACTCTGTATCAAGACATGTCATACAACACTCCCCTGATATTTATCTTAAGCACAGGCTCGGATCCCATGGGCGCATTTCAGAGATTTGCCCGGGACAGTGGGTATTCAGAACGGTAAGGTCACATCATACACTTTTAATAACTCATTTGAACATCTTGTTGAAACTTGCCCTTTTTTGTTTCCTCTCTGGAGCATGAATTCCTACATTCAGGTCTTCATTAATAAATAAATTAATATACATTAATATTTAGCTATGTATGTTGTTAAAATGGAGTCAAAAATTATAAAAGCGGATATAAACTTCATTTGAAAAGGGGGAGCTTGTTTAAAATGTTAAATATTAACAATCTAATGAAATAGATTAAAACTTATTTGTTATTTGAGACTTTTTTAATGTAGCTGTAAAACAACTATAGTCTACTCCCTGTGCTCAAATGTGCAAAAATAAATCCATAGCTCTTTACATTGTATTATTAATCTCATCTTTGTCATGAGCCTCTACTCTATTGGGTATTAGGGACAAGGGGGAAGTTTAAACTGTGTATTTATATTATTATATTTTCTTCTTAAATGTCTCTAAGGTAAGCTGATTAGATTTCTTTCTCATAAAAGTTCAGTTTGGACTTCTTCTAATCCTTCCCAAGGACACCAAGATGGTGTCCAAATGGGCAGGAAAGTACCCAAGAGCACACAGGGTGGCAGGAGAGAGCAGGGGGTCTCATATCTACAAGGTAATCTCCAAATCTGACAGGCCCCTGCGTGCAGTGGCAGGTCTGGCCTCGTCCCTGGACTGGGGGTTAAAAGATGATGGATCCCATCTGTTCATTTGGAGTTTGTAGTCTGTGTTAGTCAGGCTTCTCCAGAGAAAGAACAGTGTGTGTGTGTGTGTGTGTGTGTGTGTGTGTGTGTGTGTGTGTGTGTGTGTAGTATACTATATATATATATATATGATTGGCTTCCATGATTATAGAGGCTAAGAAGTCCCAAAATCTGCAGTCAGCAAGCTGGAAACCCAGGAGAGCCAATGCGTAACTCCAGTCCAAGTTCAAAGGCCTGAGAACAAGAAGGGCTGATGGTATAAGTTCCAGTCTGAAAGCCAAAAGACTCAAGACCCAAGAAGAGCCAATGTTTCTGTCTGAATCCAAAGGCCTAAAAGACCAATATCCCAGCTAAAACTGTCAGGCAGGAGGAGTTCCCTCTTACTCAGCTTTTTTGTTCTATTCAGGTCTTCAATTGACTGGCTGGGGCCCATCCACATTAAGGAGGCCAATCTGATTTACTCAGTCTACCAATTTAAATATTAATCTCATCCAGAAACACCCTCACAGACTCACCTAGAATAATGTTTGGCCAAATATCTAGAAACCATGTGGCCCAGTCAAAATGACACAAAAATTTAACCATCAAATGGTCCTAGACATTTGTCTTTGGTTCTGAAGTCCTAGCAAAGAATTAATACACAGAACTGTTAAGAGCTCCTATGAATTAATTTTAAAATTTTAAAAAAAGAAAACAATCCAGTAGGAATAAAAACAAAAAATATGAACAAGTAATTCTCAGAAAAGAAAACCCAAGTGCCCGATAAACATATGAAAAGATGTCTAACCTTCCTTGTAATTAGGAAACAATACATTGAAACCATAAGGGGATGTCATTTCATACCCATCAAATTGCAAATTTGATTGTATTCATGGGGGAAAAAAAATGTCCTAGTAACTAAGACTGGAAATCATTCCTTAGAAACATAAAACCAGGTGTTAGCAAGGATATGAAGAAACACGTACTCTCATCTACTACAGGTAGAAGTGTGGAATGGTGGCACTACTCTGGAAAAGTTTGATATTATAAAAAGTTAAACATACACATACTCTGTCAAATAGTAGTTCCACTCCTAGGAATATACACAACAAAATGGAGTGCACGTGTATACCCAAAGACATGTTTGAGAATATTTATTGCAGCATTGTATGTAACAGGCAAGAACCAAATGTCCATCAAAAGCAGAATGGATGAATAAATTGTGGTATAATCACACAGTAGAATATTATACAGCAATAAAAATTAATAAACAAATGACACACAATATGAATAAATTTTAAAAATAATGTTGATTGAAATAGACTAATTACAAAATCAAGCAAAATTAATCTATGGTGTTAGAATTCAAGATAGTTGTTGCTTTTGAGACTAAAGAAGGATACTGATTGGGAGGGTGCTGGTAATGACCTCTTTTTTTGTCCTAAGTGTTGGTACGTGTGTATATTCACCTTGGGAGAATTCCTTAAGCCACACATTAATGATTTGTGTACTTTTTCTATATGTTAGACTTTAATTTTTTAAAAGTTTTTAAAAACTGACCCATAATGTTGGAAGTCAGGATAATGGGCACCTTTGGGAAGAAGGAAGGGAAAATAATTGGAGTGGGAAGGAGCATAAGCGAGATGTCTCTGGGGTGTTGGCCAAGTTCTCTTCTCAACCACAGATCTTCATTCATGATAATTCATAGAGCTGTGTATTTGGGTTTTGCTCTTTTTCATATGTATCATAGTAAGGATGATTTTTTAAAAACAAGATAAAAACATTTGTACATCTATTAGAATGAGGATTTTAAATGTGTTCTTATTCTAGGCAAGAGGCTACTATATTTAAATTTCTTAATAATTGCATTGCTTAAAAAAACATAAAAACCGTATTTTGTTGTTCAACTCAGGGTGCAATCAATTTCACTGGGGCAAGGTCAAGGACCCATTGCTGAAAGAATGATCAAAGATGCAATGAAATCAGGAAACTGGGTGTTTTTGCAAAACTGCCATCTTGCTGTTTCTTGGATGTTGCCAATGGAAGAGCTAATTAAAACCTTCACAGATCCAAGTATGTTGAACGCATAGCATTTGCATAATACCATTTTTATGTATCTGTTCTTGTTGAATCCAATCTTTATAATAATTCTTTAATGTAGGCATTGTATTTCCCAATATTAAAGAGGAGAAATTTGAGACCTAGAGAGATTTATTTAAGTTACAGAACCCAGATTAGAAAAAGTTCTTCAAACTCCAATCTGAAGGTATGATCCACTGGATCATTTCTGTTTCATGTTCATTCAAAATAGATTACATTTAGGCAAGATAAGAAGAAGTAGAAAAAAATGAGCTTAGGACAAAAAAAGAAAATTAAGTCTTTCACTATAGAATGAGAAGCTAAGGAACAGAGATGAAATTACCACCAATTCCCTTAGACAAGTGCTTTACCACTTTGTCTCCTCTGTAACCCACATGACAACTAACCTTCATGGGTGCCTCAGAGCCACACACACCCCATTAGTGTGCCTAGCATTATTCATAGTTGGTACCACTATTATATCACCACTTTCTTTCCCACTCAAGAAAGTATAATGACTGAAAAGAGATAAGAAGTAGACTTAGAATCTATTCATTTTTAAATGTTAGTATAAAAATAATTGAAACCTTAGGAACTGTATTATTGGTAATAAATAGAGTGGGCCCTTCCTCACCACTCTGCCAGGAAGCCATGGGAGAGAACCACCAACCTAGGATATCCAGAGCCCTTTCTCTAGGATCTTCCTTTGTGCCCTGAACGCAGAAAGCTTTCTGGGAAGGTGAGAGCTATGCAGCTAGTCTTGCAAGTGACTTTACTTACCTATTAAGGTGAAGAGTTGCTCTGTTGAAGTGGCCAGCCTGCACTGGTCACAGCCAAGGCTTCGCAGTCTTCCCCTCAAGGCCCCTCACTTCCTGGTTTCCTCTACCCTGCCCTCTGGAGGCTGCTTCTAACAAAGATAAAGACTCATTCAAGTCTATGGTCCAGAATTTGCACTCTTTTGTAGTGCGAATAAGAGATGGCCTCCTTCCAGCTGGGCCTGTGGCTTGTGTCCATTCAAATAATTAAAGAAAAATGACAAGAAGAACTTCACTGCTGTTTATGGATCCCAATGATTAGGATTAGAATTAAGAAAAAATGTGAGGGAGGGCATCTAAAAAGCAATTGCTGGAGTGGAAGTACATGAGCATTCCGAATATAGTGATGGTTTAAGCTGTATGATGACCAGTATAAGTGCATGTGCCAGTGCTTCCAGGAGGCTGGGTGGCTACGGAAACCAGCAGAAGTGGTTGGTGGGTGTTAAGTGATTGCAGCTCACTGAAGCTTAAGTGGGTAGAAAAATCCTCTTTTGGCCCTTGTTACAATCATTTATTAACTTAACCATTTGAGTTCTGATTAATTTGAACATTAGAATAAAATACATTTGGGTAACAAGCTGAAAAGAGAAAGTGAACGAAAGAAAAACCCTGGACTTGAAATTTTAAGACCCAAGTAGAGTTCTGCTCCCACCACTTCCTGACTGTGCATTTTACATCTCCGCTCTGGGCCTCAGTTTCCCCAGCTATAAAATGACTGCATCACATCATTGCTAGAAGTGCCATACTAAGATGATTTCTAAGGTTCCATTCTCTGATGTCTATGATGCTTTAGCAATTATAGGAGAACGTGTATGAAAGGAAAAGCGAAAGAAAGAAAGAAAACACTTCTCTAAACCTGGACTTTTTCATTCTTTGGATTTTTTGATTAGTGAAATCATTAGCCCTAAGATTTTGGTTGACGTTTGACTTATATGCCTAATAGTTTCTACCATGCAAGCAATTTTAGTGTTGCTATAGGATTATACTAGAACTAACTTTTAATTTTGGCTATTTAATGTAGCTCATGAATTTAGCTGAAACCAAGAAGCATAAATTCAACTTTGATCTGCAGTTATTTATTCAATAAATATTTGAGAACCTACTGTGTGCTACACATTGTTCTGGATGGTTAGGGTAGGTCGGTGAACATAACCACCATAGATATCTGCCCTCCTCAAGCTTACAATCTAGTGAGGGGAGACAGACAATAAATAAACACATGATAAATAATTTATATGGTAAGACAGAATGTGGTCAGTGCTTTGGAAAAATAAAAGGAGAATAAGGAGAATCAGAAAGGTCAGGATGGAATGTGGGTAGGGAGGAAGTCTGAACAGCAATTTTAAATGGTGTGGCTGGGTAGACCTTTTTGAGAAGATGACATTTGAACAAAACTTGAAGAAAGTGAGGGAATCAAAAGAAGAACATTCTAGGCAGAAGGAATAGCTAGTGCAAAGGACCAGGAAGAGAGCAAGCCTGGCATGTTAGAGGAACATTGTAATATGTACTTAAAAATCAATACCAAGAAAGTCATCCTTGACTATTTGGGAGTATTTATCCAGAGTGTTACTCAAGCCAGCTGCCTGTCTTTGACATTTCTGGAGCTCCTGTTATTGTAGTTAGTCTTGGCTGCAGAAATCAACTGAGATGTCCTTTACCTAGAAGATACAGTGAAAGTCAATTCCTAGTCTTTCATTTACAATCCTTGTATCACTATACCTTCTGCTGGTCCTGGTGTGGTCCTCCTGTTTGTAGAACTCTCTTAAGCATTTTTTAAAAATATTTTTATAGCTGAATAGTCAGGGCAACCTAGTGGATATTATCTTGGAACTTCCATGACTACCCACTTAAAGATCCAAGTATTATATGCTGTGTGTTTTTTAGTTGTTAGTACTATGAAAACAAAAATGCTTTCTATATTGGCGCTCCTATTTTACTGGGCACCAATGAATGTGTGCTTATGCTGGAAGTAGACTAAAAGGGATCCTTTTCTTATAGCATGTTAAGTGTTTGTGCAGGTTTTCATAAAATCCGTTCTGTATAAATCAGTTCATTAGATTTTCTGTTGGGATAGAGACTCTGCAATTCCTTCTTCCTGTCAAAGTGTTCCTACCAAGATGGTGTCCTACTGGTCTAGCTCAGCAGGGACGGGAGATAGGAATCAGCTGTACTGGTCATCCGTCTGATCTGATTCAGTACACTGGCTTAGTACAATGTTTGATAGAACATTACTGACCAGTAAACATGGATGTCACATCTCTAGAAAGAAGAAAAATATAGTAGTTCAATTCCCAATGTGTACCTTGGATTTTTTTTTAGATAAAAATAAGAAGCTGTAGTGATTTTTCACTTGGCAATTCTGGTTTTAAAGGCTGATGAGCTCTAAGGCTCTGTGTTTTCTGTACTGAGGCAGCGCTCATTAAATACCTTTGTACCATAAAGAAAAAGAAAATAAGTCATCCTTGGATGATGGTTGTGTCTTCATATGATGGGAATGATGATTTTCCCAAAATTGCTTTGGCCTTTTGAACCTAGAATGGAGCTCATTCTTTCTTAGGTTTTCTGTCCACAGAGCTCAGACAGCGTATTAACTTAACTTACTGATGCTACACTCCCTCAGTTCCTATTGCAACTTCTCTACAGGAGGGAGAAATCCCTTTCTTCTCCATAGGGCTTTCTGACAATTTTCATGTAATTTGCCTTAAATTGAATGATTTAAAAAAAAAAAAAAAACAACTTCATGAGCATAAATGCACTGGTAGTAACTGTCTTCTTTTCCAACTGAAAATTTTCCCCATTTCAGGGAGAAGGCCCTTAACATTTCCATCAAGTATTGAAAATTAACGTCTCTAATTTCTTTGCTCAATTATCAATGTCACATAGACTGCCAACCTCTCTGGTGTGAAGAGTTTCTATAAAGATTCCCCCACCTCCATTTTAGAACATTTTATAGCATACTTAAAATAAACTAGTCTTTAAACAGAGCTCACAGCATTTTTTTTTGCTACCCTATACTAATTACTTCTTATAGAAAAGTGTTACTAAGAGTTAAGCATTTTCCTTTTCTATTGTTTTGTCTTTGTTTTAAACAGATGTTGTTATCAAGGAGAGTTTTCGACTTTTTTTAAGTTCCATGCCTAATACTACATTTCCTGTTACAGTTCTTCAGAACTCTGTCAAGGTAATGTATGCACATAGTTGGAACAATGTGACATGATTAGCCTCAGAGTATTCACCCAATGGGTCCGCAGAGCTCAGGCCTCCTGCAGGACCACGCAAAGTCTATGCAGCCCAGATGGGGAGGTGGGCGTGTCTCTTCATCTGATAGCCAGCAGGGAAACAGTTTCCCAAGCCACTGCCCATCCTTCCATGCCCTAGTCCTGTTGGTCATTCAACTCTTACCCTCTTACCTTCTATCAAAAAATGTCAAGGCTGCAGAGCGATGAGAGCCGAATCCCTCCCAGAGTTAAGGGAACGTTTCAGCATTTGAGAGATAGGAGGACCTACAGGCTGCTGGATTTCAGGGAGGAAGCTTCCAATACATGAAAAGCCTTTGCATATGTTCACCCCGGGATGATCTTAGGGGATGCCTCTTCCCTCAGTGCCCCATGTCATCAAGGCAAAGTGTGAGATGATGCCATATGTTGGGGTGACTGGAAAGTCCAATGCAGAGGCCTGGGCATACTTTCTGGCCCATTTTTACAAAAATGGACACCAAATGGAAGTATCGGAGGCTCTGGTGCAGGTGGATTACCCACTAGGTCTGAGGAACCCATCAGGCCCCATTCTCCGAGGACTAAGGCTGAACCAGATATAGAGCAGGCACGAACATGCCAGGAATGCAGGCCCCGTGGCACTGGTTATCTACATTTTCTCAGTGGCTTCAAATTACATGTGTTATTCATAAATACTGCAAATCTATAAAATCACCCTCTCTGCCACATATGTTTCATCTAAATCCAGGTAACCAACGAGCCTCCAAAAGGCTTACGTGCAAATATCAGAAGAGCATTTACTGAAATGACACCTTCGTTTTTTGAAGAAAATATACTTGGAAGAAAATGGAGACAAATTATATTTGGCATTTGTTTCTTCCATGCAATTATTCAGGTACACTCAATTCTGCTTTTTAATAGAAACAAGAAAGAAAGTGTATTTTGTTAAAAATAACTAAATAAAAAGTAAGAATTAAATGAAAGCTTACAAATGACATTGTGAAACACTGAGAGCCCCATTCAGTGTCTGAACCCAAGGAGTTTTAACTCAGTTGTTGATCTCTCTGCTCCCTTTGCCTCAGCATCTCACATCCTCACCTCCCAGCTCTATTCTGATCTAAGAACTCCATCACCTGGATGAATGCAGTACGTCAAATTCAATAGCACAAAACTGATCTCCTCAGCTGTCTCACTCCCCAAAATTTGCTTCCCCTCCAGAATCTACCTCTGAAATCGGTGGCCCCATCCTGTCAATCACCTCCAACCAAAATTTCAGGATTATTTTTGTTCTTCCCTTTTTACCCACATACATCATGTCAGTCATCAAGTCCTCATGTTTCTTGCCATCATTTCACTCTCACCGGTACCTATTTGAATAAGCATACTGCCCCTCACAGCTTCCTCCCTGTAACTGGAACTCCAAGTCTCCTGAAAGATGACCTTCAACTCAGCACCACTCTCTCCCGCCCTCTGTTCAAACCTCACTGCTGTGGTCTGGTATCCCTCCTGTGGCCTTGTACTTGAGTCCTGACTCTTCAACTACCAATCTCTAGATGGTGTCTTGATTAGACTGGCTGCCTGGTTTTCAAACATGTGTCATGTGTTATCTACAAAGAAGGAATCAGTATAGAAAAAAACCAAAGATTAAAGATGCAAGATATGGGATAAGTAAAGAAGATCCTACAGAAAGGAGATCAAAGAGGTTGGGATTAGGGGCACCAGGTGTGAGGTCCTTGTCCTAGTAAAAGCAGCTGTGATGAGGAAGTGATTTAAAATTTAGAGAAATTCTGAGATCAAGGAGAACGTAGGCCAGATCCTCTAGTATAATCATCAGTTTAGAATTAACAAATTAAGGTGGGATAGGGAGAAAACAAAGAGAGGGGAAGATTTCATTATGGGAAGTCGTGAAACAAGGATTATGGTTCTGTGTGCCAGTTTAAAAAGAAAATGTCACTATAGAGCAGTCAGTACGTAATCAGCACAGCATGGTATGACTGAAGAGCCTGGGTGATGGACAGTCTCCTTAGAACAGTAGGGGTGGGGAGCTGTCTCCATCAGATGGGGATGTGTCAGTATTTTTATGCCAAAAGACTCTAGGTAGGATTTTCTTTTGCTGCTTTAATGGGGAAATATTTTATTTTACCATGAAAAACAAATGTTCTTTGACAGGTCTATCACACTTCCAGTAATATCAAATTTCCTTCTAGAAATATTGGAGAAGGGCCCGTACTGGAAGAAGAGGTGACTCCTTGTTTGGTGGGAGCAAAACTGAAAGCCTAGCTGAAGTGGAACTGCATGATTTTAACTGCTTTTACAGAATGAGGATGCCCAACTTAAATAGACACCTCTTAGCTTTCAAAAGTTTACATAAAATTAATTTTATCAAATTTTATTAAGACTGTTTTCATTTTCCATTCTAGGAGAGAAAAAAGTTTGGCCCTCTTGGTTGGAATATCTGCTATGAATTTAATGACGGTGACAGGGAATGTGCTTTACTGAACCTCAACCTTTACTGTCAAGAAGGAAAGATTCCCTGGGATGCACTGGTTTATATTACTGGTCAGTATGCCCCCATGGCCAGGGTACCCAGCTATGTGCCACACTCAGTCGTTGGTTTACACCCACCTGGCCCATACAAAGATGGTGTCTTCCCCACTGTTTGATGGTGGCAGCGATGACTTCTGATATTCCCTTTGTGAAGATAAGACCATGATCAGAATATCACATGAACATTTAAACATAGAAAAATGGGGCAGATGTTTCCCCCAAATAATAACAGCAAAAACTTATATAGCTCTTGCTACATGCCAAGCATTAGTTTAAGCACTTCCCATGAATTAGCAGATTTAATACAAGAGCCCCATTATATAAGGTGAGGACTATTATTTACCTATTTTCCACATAAGAAAACTGAGGCATACTGTTTACAAGTGGCGGAGCCAAGATTTAAACCCAGGCACTTAGCCTCCAGAGTCTGTGCTCTACTCTTAAATTCAAAAGAATCTGAACACTGATTGACTAGCAGAAAGCTGTTGAGTCAGGTATACTTGTGAAAAAGGGGAAAATATTTCAGGAATTAAAATTTTTAGCAAATATTAATTATGGCTACATGGGATCATATTGCCAAAATTAGATCCAGTTTGGACCATGTAGATCCAAATAATGCAGAAGCGATTTGCACTGGGAAGTGGGGCAAGGGGAGAGCTCTGGAAGAGGACAGAATTGGAATGGGTGGTTTTCATTGGTAAGTAAGGGAATGTGGATGAATAAAACCTTGGAATATGTTTGAGCAGAGGGTAATAAAACAACAGTGAAAATGGATGAGGACTGACCCTCAGGGTGGACCAAGAGGGGTGAGAGGGGTGGGCATGAAATCTGGGAGGCTTCTGTACATTCCTGCCCCAGTGGGGCCAAGATTGCTTAACAAAATGCTGATGTGGGCAGCTTTGTTCTCTGGTACCCTCTATTTACCCCGAATTTTCCACTTCCTAGTTTTTCCCTCACTTGCCCTACTCCTAGAACCCTTGAACTTTCAGGTTACCTCAATCTCTACTGCCGTGGAAGTAACTATGTTTTTAAGAGGATAGAAAGGAACAAGACAAAGATGCATCCATGATCAATACTTCTATTCAACATAGTTATTAGAGGTTCTAGCCAGGGAAATTAGACAAAGAAAAGAAATAAAAGTCATCCAGTTAGAATGGAAGAAGTAAACCTGTCTTTATTTGCAGATGGCATGCATAATCTTGTAGGTAGAAAATTCTAAGAAATTCACACATATAAAAAATAAAAGAAGTAATAAATGAGTTCAGCAAAGATATGATACAGGATCAACAGATAAAAATCAACTGCATTTCCATACATTAGCAATGAACAATTAGAAACTATTAATTCCATTTACAATAACATCAAAAAGAATAGCATACTAAGAAATAAATTTAACAAAACAAGTGCAGACTTGTGCACTGAAAACTGAAAAACATTGACAAAAAAATATTAAAGACTATCTAAATAAAATGGAGAGATATGCTCATGAATTGAGAGGCATAATATTGTTAAAATGGCAATATTCCCCAGACTCAACTATAAATTTAACACAAACCCTATCAAACTCTCATATGGCATTTTTGTAGAAATTGGCAAGCTGATCATAAAACTTGTATGGAAATGCAAAAAGCTACATACTGAAAGTAGCTTCTCTTTGGAAAGAGATGGAATACCAGTAAGTTTAATTCCCTATAAATAATTTCTGTTTGTCTTTTTTACCTTGAGTCTACCTTTCCTCCTTAGCTTAATATCAATAATTTTAAGGTATGTATAGAGTTTGGACACCTTGTTGTAAATGTTTTAATTTCATTTTACCCATTCCCTCCCTCCACCAAAAAAAAGCAACATTTCACAGAAAGTGTGTATGTTTTAGAATACTGCAGTCCATGATGGGATGATGAGACCCAAAAATATTCTGGGGAAAAATAAAAACAGGAAGAAGGAATATGTAAACACAGATCAGTGGGTTTAGTTTCAGTTATTTGGAAAAAGCAAGATAATTAGGTTAGCGTACACATACTAGATTTTTTTCTGCTTTTTAAAAATTTTTATTCTCTTTTTGGGGGGTAGTGGAAGGAAACTATTGTGCTACTTCCACATTCAGTATCAAATAAATGTGTATAAGACACTCGTAAACTTAATAGAATTGGAAGATGTGTATCATTAAAAAAAACAAACAGTAATATGTTTTAACCAATATTATGTTTCTTCTTCTCAGGTGAAATTACATATGGTGGTAGAGTTACAGACACCTGGGACCAAAGATGCCTTCGTACAGTCTTGAAAAGATTTTTTTCTCCTGAAACATTAGAAGAGAACTATAAATATTCTGAATCAGGTGAATGACTTTTCAACATTATAGAAAAGACCTTTGCTGAGAAGTCATTGGCAGTATCTGTCAGTTTTCCACCCAGGAGTTCTCTCTGGGTCCAGTCCTCACAACCCAGTCCCCATGCCCACTCTATCCCCGTGCTTGGGTCACCTTCAAAACGGGTTTGGTTGTAACAGCACAAAGATATCTACTTTGTACTAACCACTTTGAATTATTTCTTTTCTAAAATGGTGTGTATCCTGTCTAAATGTGTTTTCAAAGTTATATAAATTTGGAGCCTTTAACAGGGCATACTTCTCAGCAACACATCCCTGGATTCTAGAATCTTGAAATGTTCTGGAGGAGACACCCTGAAAGGTTAGGACACTAATCCAGTGCTCAGGGCCTCAAGAAAAGGTAAAGAAACTAGACACAGCATGGAGGCTTGGGAAGAACAGTCCTTGTTCCTAGGTGAGGCAGCTGATTATAGCACCATCTGAACCAGGCAGAGAAGTACCAAACTTGGCAGTACAAAGTGAGTCCATCTCAGAATATTTGCCTTCTGTGTCTTCAATAACAGGGATCTATTTTGCACCCTTGGCTGACAGCCTACAAGAATTTAAAGACTACATTGAAAATCTGCCTTTGATAGATGACCCAGAAATATTTGGAATGCATGAAAACGCCAACCTAGTTTTCCAGGTATGTGGCCTTTCAACTTAAAATATATATTCATGTTGTATATGTAAATAGAAACATCAATAATCTCCTCACTAGCTCTGTAAATTATAATATTCTTAAATTAAAAAAATAAATGTTTCATCTTAACTTCGGTATTTGGTTCCAATTTCGCCTCTTCCCACTGGATCCTTCACAGAATCTTAAAATCGTCGTGCATTTTCCTGTCACTGGCCACCCCATTCCCTGCCCCCCAGCCTTCTGCCTCATCCACAATGTACCTGCTAGTCTACCCTAACCTGGGAATTTGGATGGTAATCCAGTCCTTTCTCTTTTGCCTTCTCCCTCCATGCTGGGCATATTTGTATCATTTTACACAAAGATTTATGGACCCACAGGTGATTATGTTATAAAAGTACAGTAACAAATATCCAAGGAACATCAATTAAAATTCCATTCTTTAAGAGCACAGCTCATCAAGGTTGCAGTACCAAACGACAGCACCAGGTCCAAAGAGCAAACTGGACCGCTTCACTCCTCTAAGACTGCCCGATGCCACACCATTACCTTAAGTTAGTCCAAGCTCCACGGCATGTCCTGGAGGCTCCCCCGTGACCTGGTCACTACATCGCCTTCCAGTTCCATCATGTGTCATGGTCAGGCATCTGTGGGAAACCAACACGATCAAATGAAGCATGTCCCCGAGGGCCCTGGAATGCTCTCAAGATTGCAGACCAGGTTGGCCTCAAAAGGCTAAAAGGAATCATCTTTCCTTTTTCTCTTTTTAATCATATTTCTTTTGAACTTAAATTTCGCCCCTACAAGTGTTAGAGGGTGGGGTTTGCCTAAATATCAAGGAATCCACACAAAAACAACAGTGGAACTTCTAGAAAGAGCACTTAAGAGGTTAATGCTGTAACACCTCATGTCATGTTCTCCACCCTTAAAATTGCTTTGCTATTTAGTGAGGAGTTAGAATAATCTATCTTATTTTTCCTTATTCTGCTTTCAGGAGAAAAAAGAAGTGGCCAAACCTAGTGTTAATATTTACTCATATATGGTGTTTTCTCGACAGTGGGTGGGGTGTGGAGGGTGAGAGAAGGGAGAGGAGAATGTGGATAGTTAAGACTCGCTGCATCCTGAGAAGGGCAGCACTGTTGGTATGAGTAACACTCTTGGTAGTGTGTACCCAGGAGTTTTGTTTTTTGTGTTTTCCATTGGTTCAGAATGACTGAGAACAGACAACAGGGATGTAGTGAGCGCCCAGTATTTTCTGTCTAGCCTCTCCTCTTTAATTTTTTTCTGGTATAATGCATGCCTTACTCCCACCTCTTTTCTTTGAGAAAATGGCGCCTTCCTCGTTCCATGACATTCTGGTAAGGCTTCCAACCAACCCCTGCCTTCACAGAGGTGGGCATGTGATTAAGGCCTGACCAAAAGCAGCCTGAATCACTTCACCACTTGAAATGGTCCAAGGAACAGGCACATAGCCAAGTCAGGGTGAATGGGAGTCCTTTCCTGAGATAGTAACTATAGATGCTGGGATTGGGGAGGGCTCTCTCTTTCCTCTAGGATTCGCTGGCTAGGGTGCTGTATACCTGCAGCATTCCATGGCTTTATTCCTGACATCCCCACCACCACCACCACCACCACCACCACATGAGAGAAGGTCATCTGCCATAGAAAAAGAAGGACAGAAACAACCATGCGTGCACAAGAGAGAGAGAGTTCGATCTATTCATGCCTGAAATCCACATGACTTGTGTTTTCTTCTCAGCTGTGTGAGCCAACAGATTCCTTTTCTTTGCTTTAGCTGGTTTAAGTTAGATAATTCTGCCTCTTCCCATCAATAAAGTCTTAACACAAATGATATAAATGATTCCCTCCTCAGCCCAGCAAACTATACTTACATAGATGCTTACCAGAAACTAACAAAGAAAACTGAACCTTGACCTGTGCCTATCAATTGGAGAAAGAAGGAAAAAAATTGCTTCCCAAGAGAATAATGAGCATAAGTTAAGGGCTATCTGCATAGGCTGTCTATGAGCAAACAGAAATCTGTTGTCTCTTTTCTGATTAGAAGCTGAATAAGTAGAAAGAAAAAACCAACTGAGGCTGAGTAAACAGGAGGCGAAAACACACTGAAAGATAAGAGATAGAAAACACCATCCAGAAGACACAGACTCACCCTCTGCAAACCATCTACTGCAGAAACCAGAAAATAAAGAATATGTTTTGGCATCTGGGATAGGGGATAAGAACCAGCCTGTGTGAAATAGAGAGCCAGAATTTGAGAACAGGCTGACATGTATATACAATGGATGCCATGAGATGTGTGAGAATGAAATATTTCAAGGAAACTAAAAATACCTCAGAAGAATTAAAATCTGCTTTGAAGGCTTAAAGACCAGTAATGGAATATAGATTATCACACATGTGATACAGGGAAAAAACTTAATAAGCTTTCCAGAATGGAGATTAAAATGTCCAAAAATAGAAAATGATGAGAAATGACAATAGTGCGAGGAGATTCAACAAACACTTTTTTTTGAAAATGAAAAAAAAAAATATTGAAGCTGTGCCTGGACATATTCTAGCACAGTTTGGGACTACAATAATAAGCAAAAATGTCATGTTAGCATCTAGCCCACCCTACCTTAAGCCCCATCCCCCCAAAAAGTGTGAATGGGCCACTATACTAATCAGGATGGACTCAGTTGTGCAGCAGTAAGAAAATTACTCAAATCCTAATGGTTTAATCCAATTATTGTGTTGGAAGGTTGACAGAGGGGCTCTGCTCCACATAATCACTCAGGGACCCAGTCTGACACAAGCACTATTATTGTGTAGATACATTAACTAGAACAAATGGCCCCTTCATTGACTGCAGCATGGGAAGAGAGAGACTAAAAAATTAGTCATAGGCTTTTCACTGCCTCAGCCTCTACAGCTCATCATCACTATGGCTCACATTTCACTGGTCAGAATGGTCATGTGGCCCACCTATCTGCAAGGGTGCAAGAAAGTATAATCTTTGCTATGCCCTAAAGGAAAGAAGAACTGAGAATGGGAGCTCACTAGAAGTCTGTAATTCAGTTACTATCATAGGGAGTAATACCAGGCTGGCTGCACTAAATGTTTCAATACTCTTCCATCCAACCAAGAAGTCAAGAACTAAAATGGAAAAGTCATAATATTAAATAACTAGCACTGAGCAAAGAAACAAGCTCTTTAACTATGGCATTAAGTAAATAACTTCATATAAGTGTTTAGGACCTAATGATTATGTCAAAAGTAATGTTTGAAAGAATGTCCATCATGTAAATATAATTTTAACAAACAAGATCTAAAACAGGTCTGAGCTTCTTTCTCAGGTAAATGGATGATGAGTGTTGTAACTGAAGTGTCAAAGCCAAGAACTACAGCTTGGACAGGATAGGCTTAGAAGGCCTTGGATAATACCGGAAAATCCCACCACCCATTCTGGATACATTACTGCCCATGAGCATCTAAACATGAAAAGCCAAAAGAATTACCCTCACAAGACCAGTGTGAGAGCTATATAAAGGAAACCTCTAAGAGGTCCCAACGAATAAACATGAAAAAAATACCATGTTTCTGAATAGAAGAAAAACTGAGAATATTTAACTGACCTAGGAATACAAATTTCTAAACATAAAGAGCAATAAAAAAATAAGTCACATTAGAGTCAATAGATGTGACAATGTCAAAAAAGGTTATAAGAAAATTAAAAGACAAGTGACAAAACAAAACAATTTTGAAACAAAAAAAAAGTAAAAAGTTAACTACCCAAACATGGGACATTTTCCAGGACAGACCATATGTTACTCCACAAATTAAGTATAAGTTTTAAAATATAGATCTCATACAAAGTATTTTCTCCAACCACAGTGGGATAAAGTTAGAAATCAATAAAACCATCATAATCAAAACAGTGTGGCATAAAGACAGACATATAGACCAATGGAATAGAATAAAGAGCCCAGAAGTAAACCCTCACATATATGCTCAAATGATTTTTGACAAGGGTGCCAATACCATTCAATAGGAAAAGGACAGTCTTTTCAACAAATGGTGCTGGGAAAACTGTATATCCACATGCAAAAAAATGAGGTTGGCTCCTTACCTAACACCATATACAAAAATTAACTCAAAATGGATCAAAGACCTAACTCTAAGATCTAAAATTCTTAGAAGAAAATGTAGGACAAAAGCTTTATGACATCGGATTTGGCAGTAATTTCTTGGATACAACACAAAAGGCACAGATAACAAAAAATCGACAAATTGAACTTCATGAAAATTTAAAAGTTTTGTTCAACAAAAGACAATATCAACAAAGCAAAATGACAACCCAGATAAAGGGATAAAGTATTTGCAAATTATATACCTGATAAGAAATTAATATCCAGAATATATAGAGAACTCCTCAAATCCAACAACAGAAAAACAAACAACCCAATTAAAAAATGGGGAAAGGACTTGAATGGACATTTATCCAAAGATGATATACAAATGGCTAATAAACCCATGAAAAGATGCTAAACACCACTAATCGTTAGGGAAATGTAAATCAAAACTACAATGATATACCACATCACACCCATTAGGGTGGCTACTATCAAAATAACACAAATCAAGAAGTGTTGGGAAGGATGTGAAGGTATTGGAGCCCTTATGCACAGTTGGTGAGAATGTAAAATGCTACAGCAGCTGTAGAAAACAGTATGGTTATTCCTCAAAATGTTAAAAATAGAATTACCATATGATCCAGCAATTGCACTTCTGGGTATATACACAAAGAACTGAAAGCTGGGACACAAACAGATATTTGTACACCCATGTGGATAGCAGCATTATTTACAATAACTAAAATGCACCAAAATACAGTGGAATATTATTCAGCCTTAAAAAGTGAGGAAATTCTACAATATGCTACAACATGGATGAACCTTAAGGACATAATGCTACTGAAATAAGCCAGTCACATAAAGACAAACACTATATAATTGCACTTGTGTGAGGTATTTAGAGTAGTCAAAATCACAGAGGCAGAAAGTAGCATGAGGTGCTATTATTTTATGGCTATAGAGTTTCAGGTTTAATAGGTGAAGAGAGGTATGGAGATGGATCATGGTGATAGCTGAATAACATTATTAATGTATTTAATACCACTGAACTAGACACTTAAAAATGGTTAAGATGCCAATTTTATGTTATGTGCATTTTACCACAAGAAAAAAAAATGGGAAATAAAGCTAACTATCCTTATTATAGAATTACTTCCTATAATCAATAATAAAAAACACTAAAAATAAAAATGTGCAAAGTACATGAATAATATAAAGATGCAATACAAATGGCCAATGAACATGTTTTTAAATGTTTAACTATTGGGTTGTCGGAAAAGTTTTGAAGTATTTTTTCTATGTTTTTCATTGCAAAAATGCGTCATGACTTTTACAACAATCCAATAGCACCCATATGACACCATATGAAGTTATTACAATATTATTGACTATATTCTCTATGCTGTACTTTATATCCTCATGACTATTTTGTAACTACCAATTTGTACTTCTTAATCCTTTCCCCTTTTCCACCTAACCCCCTTCCAATGTGATGGCAACAATCAAATGTTCTCTGTATCTATGAGGGGAACAATTTGCTGTCCTTTTGTTCTTCAGTCTACTTGTGGAAGACGTCACTTTACTGGCCCATGTTGGTATTGTGATTATTACACTTTTCCTGGCTGAGGCAGATTGGTCACCAGCCATTGGACAGCTGCTCACGCTGGCTGCCGGCCACTCACCATAGCTTATGGCAGCCCACTGCAGCCCCACTGCAGCCTACTCCGTCGCCAGCAACACACGGCAGCCCAGCTCCAGGTCAAGCTGTTGTTCACCGTCTTAGCTGTAGAGGGCGCATTCAGATCCCCTATGTGGGATCCGAACCGGTGGCTCTGCTGCTCAGAGCTCGCACTCCCAAGACAACTCTTAACCAACTAGCCACTTGGCCAGCCCTAACATTTCTTATAATATTGGTTTGGTGGTGATGAACTCCTTTAGCTTTCCTTGTCTGGGCAGCTCTTTATCTGTCCTTTGATTCTAAATTATAGCTGTGTTGGGTAGAGTAATCTTGGTTGTAAGTCATTGTATTTCATCACTTTGCCTATTTTTTGCCAATCCCTTCTGGCTTGCAAAGTTTCTGTTGAGAAATCAGCTGACAGTCTCCTGGGAGCTCCATTGTAGTTAACTAACTGCTTTTCTCCTGCTGCTTTTCAGATTATCTCTTTGTCTTTAACCTTTGGTATTCTGATTATGATGGTTCTGGGTGTGGGCCTCTTTGGGTTCATCTTCTTTGGGACTCTTTGTTCTTCCTGGGCTTGTATGTCTATTTTATTCACAAGATTGGGGATGTTTTCTGTCATTATTTGTTCAAATAGGTTTTCAATTCCTTGCTCTCTCTCTCTTCCCCTTCTGGTACCCCTATGATGTGAATGTTGGTATGCTTGATGTTGTCCCAGAGATCCTTTAAACTCCTTATTTTTTCAGTTTCTTTTTTCTTTTTGCTGTTCTGTTTGGGTGTTTTCGGCTACCTTATCTTCCAAATCGCTGATTCAATCCTCTGCTTCATCCAATCTGCTGTTGATCCCCTCTAATATATTCTTCACTTCAGTTTTGTATTCTTCACTTCTGACTGTTTTTCTTTTCATGTTTTCTATCTCCATTTTTATTTTTCCTATCTCTTTGTTGAAGTGCCCACTGAGATCATTGAGGATCCTTTGAAACCAGTGTTTCGAACTCTGCATCTGGTAGATTGTTTGTCTCCATTTTGTTTAGTTCTTTTTCTGGAGCTTTGTTCTGTTTTTTTAATTTGGGACATGTTTATTTTTCTCTGCATTTTGGCTGCCTCCCTGTATTTGTTTCTATGTATTAGGTAGAGCTGCTATGTCTCCCAGTCTTAGTAGAGTGGCCTTATGTAGTAAGTGTCTCATGGGGCCCAGTAGTGCAGTCTACCTGGTTACCTGAGCTGGGTGCTCTAGGTATGTCTATTGTGTGGGTTGTATGCCCTTCTTGGTTGCTGTTGACACATCAGTGGGAGGGATTGACCCTCAGGCTAAATGGTTGTAAGGACTGGCTGTGACTACAGTGGAGGAGTGTGGTGCAGGGGCTGACCCTACAGATCAGGGTTCACTTTAGTAGGGCTCTGGTGCCTGCCCAGTCTGCCCTTTGGGTGTGTCATTTGTGGACATGGTTGGGTGGTGCTCTGGTGTGGTCTGAAGCTGGCCACCAGGTGTGTTGGTTCTGGGGCCTCTTGGATCTGGTGGATCTGGTGCTGGCCAAGGTCAGCTGCTGCCTGTGCCCTGGTCAGGGTCACTTGGTATGAACTACAAAGTGATCTGCAAATGGTTTCCCCTTTTGCTGGGCTTGGAGATACCTGGGAGAGGATAAGCTGTGAACTGAGGCAAGCTGCCTCTAGTGCCGGGCTTAGGCCTGCTTAGCAAGAGGTACAGGGCACACCAAGGTTTGGGTTTTGTGAACCTTTGAGAGATTTTAGAAAACTCTGTAGCATGAGCCAAGACAGGCCATTTGTATGGAAAAGCCACTGGAAGCAGCTTGGGTTGGCCTGCAAATTGGGTGGGGTGGCATCTCAGGGAATCACCAGGCCTGGGCAATGTTAGCCAGGTTGATGGAGACTCAGATATGGTGACTGCCTATGTGTGCAGGCTGGGTGGGGGGAGGGCTCAGTAAAGAAACAATGGCTTCTGCCAGCAGTTCTGTCTGGGAGAAAGCTGCGCCTCTAGCCCTTGCTCTGAAGCCAGACCATTCAGTTCCTTCCTGTATCCCTGGCAACTTTCAAGGTGCTGCCCCAGCACTGAAGTTCAGAGTTAGTGAGTCTGTCAGCAAGTAAGTCAATGCACAGGACCTTTAAGAGGAACACCTGGTTTTCACAGCCAGAAGTTGTGGGACTTCTCTTTCTAGCACTGGAACCCTGTGCTGGGGATCCTGGTGTGGGGCTGGGACCCCTTGCTCCTCAGGGGGGACCTCTGCAGCCGAGATGTTCCTCCCAATTTTTAACCACCAAATGCGGGTGTGGGACCAGTCTGTTCAGTGTCTCTACCCCTCCTACCAGTCTCAAGGTGGCTTCTTCTGTATGTCCATAGTTGTAGAGTTTCAGTTCGGCTAGACTTCAGGCAATTCTCAATGATGGTTTTTCTGTAGTTTAGTTGTAATTTTGACGTGGTCTTGGTAGTAGGCGAGCACATCATCTACCAACTCCTCCATCCTGACCAGAAACCAGAAACTACTTTTTACCTATTAAATTGGAAACGTTTTTTACACAATATCAATCCTTGTAAAGACACAGAAAGATAGGTCCTCTCATACAATACTGCTATGAGTGTAACTGGTACAATGTTTTCATAAATCAATGTATTAAATACAGTTTAAAAATATTCTTTTGGTAAAATGTCATTTAAAGAACTTAAAAGTTAGTGGATGAAATTCATATACAGATAGTATATTCATAGAGTTCTATAAAATCTAAAAACTGGAAATGTCCAAAAAGTAGATAAACAACTGGTGTATTCATACCAAAGAGTGTCATAAAGTCACTTAAATCATGATTCATGAAGATTTTTCATTGATATAAGAAAATGTTGATGAAATTTTTAAAAAATGAATACTACATAAGTTGTATGGACTTACTTTTTTTTAATTATATGCACACATATAGAGAAAATGTCCAAGATGGGGGGAAGTTATAAAGATCTCTGGAAAGCAGGATCATAAAAATTTTTTTTATACTTTTCTGTTTTCTAAATTTTCTATAATAAGCCATACTACTTTTCTAATTGAGCAAATGTTATTTAAATAAAAGTGCATTCTAAAACTCAATTCTCATTATTTCTTCCTCACTTTCATAACTGCCTTTTAAATAATTAACTACAAAATTTTAACCATTTTTTATTGTGGTAAAATATATATAACTTAAAATTTATTTTACACATTTTAAGTATACAGTTCAATGGCATCAAATATATTCACATTGTTGTTCAACCAAAATATTTTTTCAATATAACACTGACAGCTACATACTGTGTATTTCCAATGAGCACAGTTTACCAACTCTTTTTTCAACATAAAAAATAAAAATTCCTTGTTTTTGATAACTGCCATTATTTCTGTAAGTGAACCATATGTGCTGCAAAATTATATTTTGAGGATTTGAGTCTTCACTGTTCTGCCCCTTCCCTCCATTACAGTACAAAGAGACCAACACTTTAATCAATACGATACTTGAGGTTCAGCCAAGGTCATCTTCTGGTGGAGAGGGAAAAAGCAATGATGAAATTGTCCAAGAACTTGTTGCTTCTGTCCGGACCAGAGTTCCAGGTAATAAATAATCCTTGGCATCTGCATATAATGGGACTTTAAGGAATAAACTCAGAGAGCTGAGTATAACAAGTATCCAATCTGCTTATTATGTAGACTTTTCTTTACATAGATAGCTCTTCTGATGTGGCGCTTCCATTTATAGACCAGAAGCCTACAGCCCCTTGACATCTCAACTGCTAGAAGCATAAGGAACAAGTTGGGTTTTAGCCCAATCGAACTTTAACCAGATTTTTTTCTGTGCTTCCTAATGTCTCTAGATTTCTGCTATCCAAGAGAGTAGCCACTAGCCACATGTAGCTACTTAAACCTAAATTTAAATTAAATGAAACTTAAAATTCATTTTCTTTCTTGTATTAGCCACATTTCAAGAGCTCCCATATTGAATAATGCAGATAAAAAACATTTC